GCACAACAGACGGGTGTATCATGTCTGATGTCGCCCCTGTAGATCATGTTTTGTTGGGCCTCGTGGCCGTCGATTGATTTCAGACAAATCTTGGGATAATTTGGGATCTGTTGGAGAAACACAAGTTCATGCTTCGGGCACTGGCAACTTTTGATCCTGTTCGCCTTCAGGTCGTCACCAGGGCCGTGATACCACGCTTCATCCTCATCCTCATCCTCATCCTTATCATCATGTTCATCACGGTTATAATGCTCATCATGTTCATCGTGCTCATGATGCTCATGATGATCATGATGCTCATGATGCTCATGATGCTCATGATGCTCATCATCAATCATCATCAATCATCATCATCATCATCATCATCACCACATCACCATCATCATCATCATCATCATCATCATCATCACTGCCATCACTACCATCACTGTCATATCTGTCATCCCAATCACCACCATCACCACCATCACCACCATTATCACCATCCTGATCCGAGTCCTCATCTTCATCATCATTGTCATCACCATCAGCAGCATCAACTTCGTCATCAGCAGCTGCAGCCGCACAGGTGCATTGAAGGTCGCGTTCACCTAAAGAAGAACAAACAAATCTGCCAGGTTTGACACTTGTAAAGATATCTTACTTGTTCCTCGCTTTGCGCATGCTCTCGTTTTCTGACGTTTTCTGGTTCCAATTCGGTCGACAGCGTCTCAGCTTCCGCACCTTCTTGCGCTCCCATGTTTCGTTTTCACTATGGGTTGGCATCCGTCGTCGACAATGTGTGACGCATCATGACGCATCGCAAGGGGCGTCGTCGGTATCACCATGCGAAGGGTTGGACGGTTGGACGGTTGGACCCTGCAGGATCTTGAAACATGAAGGAAGCAATGCTATCTCCAAAACATCTGTCCAACACATCAGTTAATATGCCCATTGACTTCTCAAAAATGTTTCTATATGTTTCTATGATTTTCTATGAATTTGTCCCCTTATGCTGCCAAGAGTGAACCTCTTTTATCGCCAAACTGAAATGCAGCAAGTGCCACAAGCAGTGTGCATTTTCCACATCGCATTGGCCGTCTTCAGCGGCAGCGCAGCAGCTGAGGACTCACCTGAAGTGACACGATGTGGAAAACCCCAGCATTCTGAATGGGAAACCGTGGGTTTTCCAGTTTTCCACATCTATCTTAGTTTACCCTAGGGCCCTAGGGTAAGTTGTTCACTTCCGAATGGCAACGCCTTCCTAATGATTATTCAAATTCAACTGGACCTGCTGTATTTACAAATACGTATGCATGCCAACATAGTCCCAATCATGATGGCAATGATGGAAGATAAGCATAAACCAGGGTGACGTAAACATGAGCTTGGACCATCCACATACATGAAACAGATGGTCATGGAACACCCCTGCATTGGACCATATTTGACACCAAAAGTGGGTACAATTTCAGGAGTTGCACGATCTCAAAATAAGGGATAAACATGTCAGCTTCAATGGCATGGGCTAGATTGTGTGGAAAGTATTTATAATCCACCTTCCTTGAAACTACTGATATATAAATATTATCTATCTATATATATATATATATGTAAATATATGTATATAATATGTAGTACATCATATTGTCAAATACCATTTACTTCTGACCCAACCCCTTATTATTGATATCCAAATGATCAAACACTGTACCCCTTGAAACCACTGATCCGACTCCATGACACACCGTCCGAATCATAATCATGGGCCTGTAACGCCGCATAAGTTGGGACATAACTATACACAACTATTGCGACCAAAAAAAAGGGGTTTGCCTGAAAATGAAATGTGTATTGTTTACTGTTTATCATCATTTTCTCATGAACATTGCTACTTTACGGGTATCCCCCTTTTCAGACACATACTTATCATGTATATATATATAAATATTAGTAAGGGGAACCGCACGCCCAGCGAGTTTCACTGGGTTCTTCGACCATCTTCCCATCTTCACCGCGCGGAAAACCTGCGCCTGCACGGGGAACTTGCTGTAGGGTAGTGCCAACATTGGGGATATGCCATAGATCACCTGTGCCATATCTATTTTTGTTTGTCTGAAACTAGGGCGCTCCCGATTCCAACAGATGATTATCATTGCATTTTTCACTGTCATCAATCAATCAATCAAATTACCATTTCGGAGGTATACCCCATTTTCAGATAAACCGATAAACCTATTTTGCAAAAGCCATTCAAAGAGCTCAAGCTCGTTGAAACAAAATGGTCCCCGCTTTTGAAAGCAAAGTGGCTGGATGAGTTCTACCAGAGCTTGATCAGAGCTTGACCATGGGGTAATGAAATTTCATCCAGATTGGGCATTTGACCCTCAAATCTATGCTGAAACATCTGAAATCATCTCCAGTTGCAACCGGTCTTTGATGATCCTTTCAAATGATACAATGTTTGTTGCATTTCATTGGACCAATTGTATATATCCTGCACAATGGATGTAAAATTTTCCCATGGTTCAGCACGTCCACATCATTTTCGCCCGCAACCTGGTGAGATCTACGGCGACCTTGGCAGAGTTTATGGTGTGGTTTCCTTTGTTGTTTAGTGTGGTTTCGTCATGTTTTTTGTTATAATTACCAATATTCATCGTCACCATGTTTCATCTTCATACTGGTTAACAATATATTTATATGTATATTAACGTATTCATATATATATAATGCTATATATATATATAATGCTATATCTATATATATATATATATTGTCGTTCTTCATCCCATCATCAGGTCACGATCCTCATGAGGATCTGTCTCAAAATATGAGCCAAGCATCAACGTTTGGTGAGATACGCGGATGCAAAATAGAGACCCTTGACCCTTATCACATGGTTTATTGAATCATTCTGTGGATGTTTGATGTTTAGGGATACCTCCAAGACTCGTTTGATGACAACCATATTTTTTTCTGCTGATTTTGGTGGTTTATCACGTTTCGTCCGCAAGGATGTTTCCTGCCGGCGGAGCATCCCTCTTCCCGATTCCAAAATACTCAAGGATTGTCTCAGCATGAGATCCCCCAATCAGTGGATCTCTATTCCCAGGAAATTCTCATGCCACTGAAATATGAAACCTGGCGAGTGTGGGAAGCCTTTGAAAAAATGGTGAGAATGGGGGTTTTGGTTACGGAGGTCCCATTCTTGGGGATGGTTCAACAGCCATGTCTTTGAATGCCATAGATGACTTTATCTGAAAAAGGGCTACCCCAGAATCCCATGGTCTATCAGTTCATCAGCACTTTCCCTATTGAAATTGCCATTTGGGGACCTCATCTTTGACCCTGTTTGACGAAAGCACAGCACTGCCAGTTCGGCCCAACATTCCTTCGGTCCAGATTTGTTTGTTTCCCCTTCATGGGGATTCCATGCACACACATACACATTGATTGAATACCCCCTGAATGGAACTTGGGAGTGGGCGAATCTCGTTGCATGTAGGGATCCCACTTCATTCCTCAGGGCAGCATGTGAGATGGAAAACTTAACCCAAAATCCTCACCTGAAATGAAGCACTACATTCCACCTGCATGGAATACCCAAACGACTTCGCCTGAAACAACTGAAACCACCCATCATTGGTAGAACTGTTGATATGTACACTACCTTCTATATTCCAAATGCTATGCAGCATGCAGGAATCCCTGTGCATCCCTGTTGGCAGTTGGTGCTTTTGAATGCCTTCGATTGATTGTATTTGAAACAATCAGGAAGTTCCAAAAGTTCCAATATGTTCCGAAACTAGATAATCGTGTCAATTCATCTGAGAAGTACTGCTCTATTGGTTCATCGTCCACAGGATGTGCTCAATTGGATATGGACACCAAACCTGGCTGAAACTATGAACGCCAAGTAAGAAGCATTATCGCATTGTTAGGGATGGGACATGACAAATAGAGGAAACCATTACTGTAATTAATCAGGAAATGAAACGAAATAAGTACATAGTAAATACATGTGCTCCCTAATCTTACACACCCTGTAAAAAACGTAACCATTTCTAGCCGCTTAGGCTACTATTTTCTCACCAACAAAGCAACAACAAAAGGACATACTGTAAGTTTCTGTTATTCACCAAAGGTTTCTTGTTGGTAAAAGTCATGTATGTCAATTTGGCGCGTTTTGGCTGATTTTGGTGGAACAATCAATCAAATAACTGAATATAGTTCGGTGAACAACATAATTAGCCGACCTTGGACAGCCAGCCCCCAACCCCAAGACCAAGCGTCCCGAAGAAGCCGTGAGCTTTGGTTTCTTGGACTGTATCGGGAGTCCAATTGGATGGTGGCATGTTGAATTGAAAAAAATGTTTCACAATGACAGGGTTGCCACCAACATAATTTGGCAATTGTGTCATCATCATCATCATATTGTTGCTTAATATCATCAGGAACCCATAAAAGTTGGATTGTGATTATTGTCATTATTGTATATTATTGAATATTATTGTTGGTTAATCCCATATCACCATGAACTTGTTGGTCCAACGCGATTCTTCCCGGATCGCTACCTTCGACGCCTTCGCTTCGCCCTTCTCGCCCTTTTCGCCCTTCTCGCCCTTCTCTTTCCGTTTCTTGGGCGCCTGGCGACAAGTTTTTGCTTCGCCTCCGGTTGGGAAACTGGCAATGCAAATATCGTCACTACCCTTTGATAATTTAACATACATCATAACAGTAACATATATATATATATTAATATATATATAATGTGTCTTGTATAGTGAATTTTTGGAACCCGACTCATTTATATAGATGCTTTACTTATTCAACGTGGTGATTTTCCATGGCTATATAACCAAGGCGTATTGTTATATATTGACATATTGTTACTATGTATCTTTGCTAAGCCCGCCAAGCAATCTTGAATTTCTTCCTGTAATTAAGTGTTTGGAAAAGACGTATACTCACGAATTATCTACTTCCAAACAATGGATCGTCCGTGGCTATGCTTGTTGCTAATATCCCCAGCTGTCGGTGGGAAACACGTCCACAAAAGCCAAAAAAGGGCAGCTGTTTCCCAGCGTTTTTTTTGCACCATTTGAAGATGTTTGAAGGCTTAAATACAAAGTGTAGAAGGCTCTGGGTATTTGCCAGAAATCCAAATACCTTCGAATAGATTCTAGCCGATCGGTTTCTGAGATGCCAATATCACTCCAGCGTCTATAGTCATACTGGAATTCCCCCATGTAGTGAGTTTCAACCGGACTGGGGCGCAAAGGATGACAGAAATAAGCTCCGAACCAAAGTTCTTCTGGATCTGAGTCCCATCTCTTCAGCTCCAGCGGATGTGCTTCCTGCAGCTTCTGATGGACGAAGACGGCATCGTTCCAAAGCACGTGCACCAGGCGATAGCCCAGCGGCACAAGGAGCTCGGAGAAGGCGCTGAGTGAACAGTGCAGGAAATGGCCCCTCCTCCCATGGCGACTGGAGATTTCCAGCAAGGAGTCTCCGACACCAAAGGTGAAACGCAAGGGCCGGTATACGATGGGTGGAGGGATCATGGGATGAAATTCCACGTGAATGAAGTGCGGCCGCAAATTCAAACCATAAGGTTGCTCACTCACTAGAGCTTCAAGAAAACAACAGTCGCAATTGTCCACATCCACCTTTAGAAGGACAAGTTCATCAGCATCGAAGCTTTCGTTCTTCAAATGGCTCTCAACAAAGCCTGGTTGCTGGTTTCATGAAACAAACAAATATATATATATATTATCTATATATATCCCCGTTGCTTGTGCCTTTTAGTCTCATGCCTCGATTTTAGCCAGCTAAAACTCCGAACCTACCCCAAAAACAAGGCTGGATAAAATTTGGGCAGGAGGTCCTGCATAGGCTAAAATTTAGGCTCGAAACCAAAAATTTATACCACCCCACTTGGTTTGTAGAGAGATATCAGGCAGATAAAATCCAAGGGTTTGAGGTCTATTCGGCCGAGTCAATTTTTGAAAAATGTGAGGTCTTTGCAGGTTATGATCCGCCAGCCAGTCCGTGGGTTAAAATTCCAAAGATTTGAGGTTTCTGAAAATAGCAGTTGAATAAAATTCCGTGGGACTAAGAGTCAAGAACGTGTAGAACTTTTATATTTGATAGTAAACGTATCCGGCGAATAAAATTCCGATACAACCCCAAAATATAAGAACCAGCTACTGGGATAAATATGCGGTGGAAGATATCCAAGGTACCGGCTAGCTATTTTTTTGGGCTGGACCCTCAGGATTTCAGCCAGGGGTAAGCATCAGGGATTATATATATATATATATTAACTATACGTATATATATATATATATATATATATGTATATACGTAATTTGCAGATCATCATCCCAAATGTCCTAAATATGGTTGAACATCTTACATATTACTGTATGATAACTGAAACGCTTTTGACAGAACTCTGAACTCAGAAGCTTCTCACACTTTTGGGATCACTCGGCTCCAGCATGAGCTTCACATTTTCTCGCAGCTCGTACTGTGCGCGTAGCCGTGGGAAGTGCTCCTCCCCACCTTCCACGAAAACCCCACCCAGCTGGGTCGAGAGACAATTGGCGGGGTCCTCATGGCGCCAGCTGGGGAAATCCCGTAAGAACATGGCTGTGTAAATGTAGTCGATAGCATCATCTGTCTGACTGATGTATATGATGTTACTTGTTTCCAGCTGGCAAGCTTGGAGTACCGATACCCTGACAAAAAATAACCTCCAGCAAACATTGGGGTGGAAAATATATGGCTTCCCAAATGAATCACCTGGTGGAATTCGCATAGTCAATGGAGTTACCCAAGAGTGCACTGTATATTCTTTAATTAAGCAGGATAGTTGGCTATGAGTACGAGCCACTATGGGTATCAAATCCCTGGTGTTCTTGCCAAACATGTTTTGCACTAAAGTGTTCATCATTGTTTATGCCTTCCCAACTCCGTCTGAAAGGATCCGAAAGGTATTGACCCATCCCCACTCACAAAATAATTGCCGATCAATCTACCCTGTACTAAGTCTTGACATCCGTTTTGGTGGATAAATTCGCGTCTTGCGTGGTCTAAAAACCGCTTGGTCAGACTTTGTACTGTAAGTAAGTTGTTCGACCTTCACCTCACAAAAAAAAAACAAGGTTCTCCAGTCCTGGCTATCGAAAATATTTTCTACGTCCCTGTCAGGCGGTGCTTGAAGTAATCTCCTGCAGCCACCGCTTGCTGTACCCACATTGATCACCCACTGAGTCCCTGAAAACCATCCCGCATCATACAGTTTGGGCGTCGCTTGGTGCCACCAAGCAAAATCATTTCGAGCACAGACACTGCTGGGGCTGTGCAAGCTGTGAATGCCTGAAATCCAATGGTCAGGTTTGCCGCTGCCACTTCTGCTTGACATATCAATCTGGAAAGCGGAGCAACGCACGGCTTTTCTCAGAGTGCGCATGACTTCCTTGGATTGGTTTCAGGCTGAAGATATCATATCCCACAAAACATTCCATATATATATATACACATCTATGCATACATACTGATGTATCATACGTTAATACTGTAAATATATAAGTGATATAGTAGTAAATATACAAGTAAGATCACGTACCCTCCAAAAGAAACATCTCCAAACATGGTGGATTTCCCATTGAAAAACAACCCCCAAAATCACAATTTTGGGGGTTGTAAAAACCATCCCAAATTGGAAACAGTTTACTACTCCAGGTGGTGCCCCAGTTCGTTAACTAACTTGGTGAACATAACTCCAACAACTAGGCTTCTCGGCTTTGTGGTAGATATATCTATAGTAATCTATAATAGTCATTATGGTCTATGGTGTAGAAAACCAACATAACTGGGGCACCACCTTGGCACCTTTACATACCTTTACCGCATCTCAGCGTCTAACAGTTGCCGCTCCTCCAATGTTTGTGGAGCGCATGGCCATCGCATCATCTCCTCAGCCAGCTGACGGCCCTCCGGGCCCTCCAAGGCACCGGAGGAAAAACACGACAGCATCGTCGCGGCCAAATCGTATCCTGCAGCGAGACCGGGGAGCCTTTGGGATGGGACCGTTTTTGGCGAAAAAAAACTCTGAAATTTTACCGAGGTTCCCACCCAAGGGCTATAACATGCTATAACTTCCCGATGGCTTTGGGTTGCAACCCTGTGCTGGATCGAAACCAAGCAATGATACGGTAATATATACTTTTCAATTAACCCAAAAAACATATAGCCTTTGGTTGGTTGAGACCCTGCAATAGAAACACCCTTACATAATTTTATTGTGTTTTTGGAAAAGAAACGTGTGGGGGGGTTGTAAAACGTCATCATGTAAGAATCATGTATACAGTTTCAATTGTCCGATGACCCCTCTATCAACTCACCAGCAGGATGGACAGTCAGAATCATTGGTTGGTAAGAAAACATGATAAAGACCGCTCTGTACCCCCCAGCTTTCAAAACAAGGTCAGAATGATCAGAATGTAAGACGTTAGACATTGTCAGAACCGGAAAATCGCAACATTTGTCTCATGTCTATACTGATAGATCATCCCATTGGAAATATCACCATTGTCACCGCTAATTTTCTTTTGTTCCAACAAGTCGTGCTCCGCTCCTTGAGCTTTGCCTTCCAATAGAATTTTGGCATACAAACTGCAAAGCTGCAAGAGGTACTCCCGAGTACAGCGGTGCCAATAGAAGATCACGCACTCCATCTGTCTCAACGTATCAGCCAAGGGCAGAAAAAAATACTGAAGCCGCTGATTCTTTGAGGTCCATACATTTACTTTGAAGTCGTCCCATTCCGAGAGTGATTTCCAATACTCCTCTGGCGCTTTCGAGAAAATCTGAAAGTTGAGTGAGAATCATCTCACTTCCTCAATTTGGGGGTGTTTGGAAAATCAACATTTCTTGGGCACGGGTCAGAATTGAATATAATGGTCAAGACTCACCGGAACTGTTCGTGTCTTTTTGTATCCACCATCCACAACCATAAAATTTTGGCTCTCTTGGCTTGACCCTCAACAGTTTAAAAAAGGGCGACAGTATTCAACACATTGGTTTGGTGTATACCTTACGTATGTAATATGAGTATTAATATAAAATTAGATATGTATATATGTACATAAATAAATATATATATATATATAAGTATACAGTATATTCTATATATATATATGTCTATACTTACTTATGGAGTCTGGGTGAATTGAGCTGAGTGGTAGGCTTAAAATTATCCTATCATTGGATGGCCAGAACTAACAACCACCAAAACGGGATGATTGAATACTGACTATGAAACGGCCAACTGTGGTCAAAACGTCCGGTGATTTTTGGGGATTTCCTATGTTTGGGTATGTAAATCCTGAATATTTGGGGTGTACGGTATGACGTCACTATATGTCACTATGACTATCCTCTAGCATGCCCCAGCTTTTACCATGGCCCATATTGTGGAAGAAATCCTGCACCAGTTAGTAACTATTGGTAGCTATTGGCAACTAATTATCAAAAACTCTATAGATATATAATGAGATTTTTAAAGGGATGTTTACAAGCTACGTTAACTGGTGCAGGATTTCGCAACCATCCATGATCCATGATTGTTTCTTCATGTTTCTGTTTCTTCCCCTTTGGAACTCTCCGGTAGATTCCGGTAGTCCTCTTGTGCATTGGCAATAGAGCAACTCTCCAAGAGATTCTCAGGCGGACAGTAGTCTCCCAGGGGAGCAAAACCACCAGCCGCATCCAGCCAGGGCAGCACAAAGCACCAGCTGGTGCTAGGCATTGCATGGCCGGCAGAAAAATCATGACTTTACTTAACATATATAGCAACTTACAAAAAGATAGAAACTTCAAATCATAATCAAACAGTTTGAATATGTTTGAATAATCATGAATTATATTTGTTTTTAGCTTTTTTTGGGCTTCTGTATCCTGTATCCCTCAAACAAAGGTGGAATATAATGTTCCTCAGTGGATGGTGTGTGCATGTCGTCCTCTCATGTTGGGACTTATGCTCACGCTTCCAGCTGCGGCACCAAATACAAATTCGCCCATCAATGGATCCTCGAGATCGCCCAATTTGAATCAAATTGATATGGATATCACATGATATCACAGTGGCAAAACACTCAGGCCCGATTCTGACCCGTCACCATTCTGTACAGTTCTGTGAAGGCTTGATTGTACATGATTGTAATGTAAGTGCTTAGAATGGCTTTGATGAGCTATTATTGTTGATTTCGGGCCAACCTAGTTTCCATATGTTCCCATGGATGCGTTCAACAAATTGGGGAGCCAATCTGAGATCGTCGCACATGGCCTGATTTGGGATGGTCCCGATACTATTCTGCTGTCCGCTAAGAGCTCGTTCCGGGTTTCAATGGGTCCCAAAACTCATAGGCAAACATATGCACATTGGTAAGTTTAGTGAATTTTAGGGAAGTTTAGTGATTTTTAGGGAATTTTAGTGAAATTTAGTGAAATTTAGGGAATTTTGAAACTACTAGGCACATATGGCAGTGTGTCAAAACCTTGTACCCCTGGTGAACATCAAAATAGCTGGTAAATGGATGTTCATCCCCCTAAAAATGTATCTATAGGTATTGACCCATACCCATATGACAAACTAATAGGCACTACCTTTTTGAAACGAATTTTGCCAAAATGGTTCAAACATGGTAGATAGAAAGACACCAATATATGGAGAAAGACACCAAAATGGCAGTGATTTCCAACGAGAGTTGAAGCCCTGTTGATGATTCTCCCTAGGCATGGCGACCTAAATGACCCATGAAGGCTGAATCAAATCAGTCCATGATGGTTTTCCATGGGTTTTCCAAATAATTATGAAGTTTTTGAATCATCACTTATTGCAATTTTACATATATATATATACATACATATATTTATTATTATTATTATCAGTATTCTCATTATTGAGTTTATCCACCTTCAGCATGTGCCAAGCCTTGGGTTCCTTCGCTCCCTTGGTTCCCTTCTCCTTTCGCTTCTTTGGCGCCTTCGGCGGTTCAGTTTGGATCCTTTGGTTTTCACCATGGTCATCATCCTCCGATGGAAACCATCACTGGTTGGTGATTGGTTCTAAAAAAAAAACTCCGTAGCTGCATGACATTCTTTACACACCTCTGGCAACTAAGCTATTGAGCTATGCTTTGGGGATTTGGTTGAGTATCTTAGTACACACGTTGGTTCCTCGAGACAACCGAGTTCACACCTATCAAATCTGGGCTGCCATCCATTTTTGGACCATTCAGGGTCCGCTGACCACTGGAACTCGTTATGGGAGTAATTAAACTCTCCAATTTTGGAGTGTATGGTATACGATGGTATACGATGGTATACGATGGTATACGATGGTATACGATGGTATACGATGTTATACGATATATCGATATTATACGATGGTATATGGGTGCGTGCATGATTGTGTATGGTACTTCAATCCCTACAACTGTTGAAAGGCCACTCAAACCGCGAGCCACAAATGAAGCCCTTTGCACGCACCCATCGAACAAATGCCTAAGTACTTCTCCGGATTGCAATTCACAAATTTGGTGATTAAACTTACGTATATAAATCCTTCTAGCGATCAAATCCCCAGATGTTACGTTTGGTTGTTGCAATGCCATGCAATGCCATTTTTGATCAATTTCCAATATTTCTAAGTCAGTGTTGTTCAATCTCCATGCATCACAGTTCTGAAGTTGCTGGATTTGTGGCAACAAAAAAACAGTTCATCACAGTTCTAAACTGATGAATGGAGATTTTGAATGATTTTGAACTGTTAGATTCCATGATTCACCAAGGTTTTCTGAGTTAGATTCCCAATGATTCCCATCTTCACTGATGAAAAATTCCCCACCAAAAACCGCACCAAGGTCCCACCCGAGCCCCTCACCGGGACGGTCACTTCCGTCACCACGCTGCTGCCAGGGGAAGCAGCCCTGCAAGCGTGGAGGAATTCACCACCCCAAATTGATGATTCGACTGGAAAGACCTGTGGATAAATGGAGGATCTAACAATATAATACAATATATAACATGATTATAACATGTAACCGAGCAAAATGGGCGCGTCACGTATGATTTTTACGGTAACGTAACTATAGAACAACCAACCAAGGGATCTGACCATGGGGAATTGGAGGCAATTCCAAGCCAACCGGGTTGACCGTGACATGGGGATGGAAATATTGTGAGATCATGGGATATAATGAGGATATCACGTGAGGATAGAAGGGGATAAATCTCATAGACGTGATTTTGTTGAGATGAATTTGTCCAATGCTGGATTTAGGCCCGATATGAATTGCAATTTGGTGGAGAAGATTGTGGTTTGAACCATAGGATGTTATGGATGTTGAGGTTCCGAATCTTGGGACAAACCTGTTTCTGTAAAAAGAACAGTATAGAACAATGATTACAATTAGTGCCATTGACAAGTCAGATTACTTACGATGTATCGTTGATGGGTGCAAATCCCAATCTTATCCTCAAATACGGGCGAAAGCACATAAAAGTTCCGAATTCCAAGGTTTGTTGACTAACAACCCAAATGCTTATAAATGCTTATAAATGCTTATAAATGCTTATGTAATATCCCTTTTGATTCGAATGTTGCTGGGAAATCCAATGGAAATCCCTTGAATTCCCGAGTTTTGCTTGGTGAAATCAGCAAAAATCAGGTGCCTGGTACTCGGTGGTATTGTTGCACTGGGTGAGGGCGCCCTACAAGGAATCCCGTGCTGTGGGGGAACCGAGGAAAACTCAGGGCACCGACACATCAACAGAAACACCAGACATCATCTGAAACATCACCTGGAACATTTGAAGTGAGTTGTTTGTTTCAATCTATTTTTCAACGTTATCTGAAATACCTGGTGATGCTGGAACATGTCTTAATGATGAAAGTAGCAGTTGATGAAGTGCCGTTTATAAACATGTCCTCCTCTTCTTTCACTGGACACATAGCTCCACAGAACCTCTTCCACTGTTTGGTGTCGATTTCCTGCAACTGAAATACCAGTTGATGGAAACCAAAGTAGTAGCACCGATAGGTGTTCTTAAAGCGTTATCTTGTGTTCTGGTTGGTGGTTTCAACCCCTCTGAAACATATTAGTCAGTTGTCAGTTGGGATTATTTTTTCCAGTATATGATGGACAAATAAAAAATGTTCCAAACCACCAACCAGTATCAGATATCCTGTCAAATTAAACCTTCTTTCTGTTGGAATCATCCCATCGAACCATCATCTATATCAAATATGGACCACGGTTTCCTTGGGGCGTTCGACGTCGCTAGGACGCAAACTACCTGTTGACGTTTGTCTTCAGGGAACTTCTTCAATACACATGCACACTTACACACTTACTGTGCTTCTGAAACTCTTCAGTTATGTAAAAGATTGTAGAAGTGCGAAAATGAATGAGTATGGCCCAGTATGGCTTTCACTTTCATCCACCAATATGTGGGCACGGGTGTAACTCCTGTCGCTACACAAAGCATGTCTCAGGACACTGGAGGTTATGACTGCGGATCAATCGGATTGGTTTATAAACTTAAGGTTTTGCATTTTCACCGCACTTTAAAAACAACACCTGGAAGTCCTGAAAGTAAATACAATGCAGCTGGAGGCTCATGGTTTCATGATACATGTTGTTCAACAGTCTTGAAGTGACATGATCCCAGTTTTGCAAGTTTTATTCCCAGTTTTGATCTCAAAACGATCTTTGCACCTGCCTCTTCTTCTTCTTGGCCTCTACGGGAGAAGCCACAGAATAGGCCACAAATTCGACCAATGGGCCACGGGAATATGGGTCAAAATACGGTAATCCATATGGGCTAGGGGGACTTCTGCGGCTGTGACGCCCGAAATATGATGAATTTGACCGGGATTCAACAAAAAACATGATGAATTCTGCGGAACCAAGCCGAAACATGGATCTATGGGGAAATGACCAACAAACATTGGCGCATAATTATCATAATTGCAGAAACATAAGAAACATGGCTTATAGTAAACTGGCGAGAACATCATCCCACATATGGAAAATGAACAATGCCTGAAACATGTTGAATTCACATAGTTTCAGACCCCTGGGCCCCACAAATGTTATGCCAGTCTTGGCCCAAGTCTGACCTTACTCCATTGGCAGCGGCATGGAATTGGTTGTTTTTTCTCGCATTGACAAATGTGGCAAACCCATCAAGAAACTGTAATCTTTGCAGGTTTGAACTCAGCCACATCGATTGAATATGTTCAACTTGGATATGGTTCCTCACTGTGTTTACCACGCGGAACAAGATGCAGAGTTGTCTCAAAATTTGAACCTCACAGGGCAGCTGGCAAAACCTGTCAAATGTTTAGCCCAAATAATCCAAATACATGGTCCGCACAAGTAAGTAGTTGGACCACGGCTTATAGATGGCCGTGGGGTTTTGGGGGGTTTGGGGGTTTTGGGGGGTTGGGAGGGTTTTTGGGGGTTTTGGGGGGGGGCTGATAACGTTCTTGGCTGCCCGCCTTACAAGATCTTCTCTTGGACTTGCTGCTACGCTATGCACTCTTCTCTTGCAAAATGATCCAGCAATGGATGTGGCGTCAAACCATTTTGCCGTGTTCTCCCAAAGAATTGATGTCACGCCTTGTCGATCTGATGAAGAAACATCATGACTTTCAATAACGGCTTCATCCACTGAAACAAATAGTTTGGGTGCATTGCAAAATGACTAAAAAACATGTTTTTCCCTATCTAGTTACGAGAT